TGCAAATTTTATCTCTATCACTGGAATTTTAGAAGGGGGCTCGTTTTTTGGAAGATTATCCCGCTATTCTAAGGGGGTTCATCTTTTTACTTACTCCGAAGAGCCATAATCTCCCTCCTTTTGTAATAGAGACTAAACAGAGAAACCAGGAGACTTACAAGCGAAATGATTTGAACCATCCAGATTAAAGTGGACTCTGGTGAGACTGAATTGGATTTAGAGATTGGCTGCTCTGGTTCAATCCTTTTCGTTTCGCCCCTCTCACTTTTTTTATGATCCGCAAGTCTTTTCTCGACTGCAACTCTTCTTGGATCTATCTCTGGTTTTGTTTTCTTCTCAGTTGAAGGTAACTCCTCTGCAAGTGGAACTTGTCCTTCAGGTTATGTTTTTAGCGGACTGGTTTCTTTGCCATCCATTTTGGAATCACATCAGAGAAAAAGAATCACCGAATAATTTGTAGTGATGATCTTGATGTCCTTTGCCGATGGCGTATAGAAAAGAACTAATGCGGCGATATTCTCTGTCAAAGACTTTGCAATGCTGTTCATCTGCTGTGTGAGTACCCAAACACTTATTCCTTTATGCCTTGTGCTGAGTGAGAAAAGTGAAGTGTTATCATCAAGGCATTCTCACCTTAAATACTGAAGCGTGAACTCCTTCACGGAAGTGTTCACTGATGCAAAAGCGACAGAACTCGAAACATCTTATAACAAAAGCGGGAGACTCCAAGTAAAAGTTTTGGAGTAGGTAAAAAGGCATTTGACTCGTTCACCAAAGGAAAGAAAACCGGCCGTTAACAGTTAAATCCAAAACTCACTAAAGAGACTAAGGGAGCTCTCAGATCACGTGGAGAGGACTTTATCAAACAAAAGGACAACGACATTAAACGAGTCAAATAGTCAAGAAATGAAGATCAAGAATTGCAGATGATGAAAATGAAGATAGAGCCACGAGAAAATGAGATCGAGAAAAGACTCGTGAAAAACAGAGCAACTTAACGATCTTGAAAGTGAGAGAGATAGACTCGAAGAAGTAATTCCACTTCGAGAAAAACTAAGAAATGTGATCGAAAGGTTTGTATTCACCTTAACACCCGTTCTGTAAACTCCTAGTACTCCCGCAATTATAGCATCAGCCTACAGGGTCTCCAAAATGAAGTTTGATGGCTCTTTTCCTGGAATGGACTTTACCGTAGTCTCGGGTAAAGTATCTTCTGATTTCACCTCTCGATTTGAAGGGTGGGACATTGATTTGAAGGCTTGACTCATATCATCAATATGAGAAACTCTCGCTGCGCTTCCTTTGCGCCTTTTAAAGCTCCCAGAATGCTTGATCTAACATTGACTTGAGCGCCAAGGGAACAGTAAACTAACGCTTCCGCATCCTTTTGTTGCACAGCACAATCCAAAGTTGAACTCTAGGGGCGTATAACTCTTACTCGGTCCTGCGAGCCATCTCTAAGACTCACGGAGATATCACTTGATGCTAGTCTCTTATCATTGAAATTAACTAAGGTCTGCTTTCGAAAATCTTGTTTTAACAGCCGTAAAGTACCCGAAGGAAAAGCTCGAAGATTTTCCATTCAGTAAAGACGATTGGAGTACATCATGTAAGAAGAAATCCTTTTTAGTTGATTTTATTTGTAGTATAAACAAAAAATAGCATGGTTTCTTCGAGGTATTCAGTATAAATACCGGCTAGTGATATTCCAAAACTCCCCCAATATCACTCGCCGCTTCGCGGCTCAGATATTTTGGTGAATATTAAAGTACCACTCGCGGTATTTATCTTAATGATACCCCTCGAGACCATGCTAATTCCCATACTAAATGTGACTGTGATTTATTAGCTCAAGATTAGTATCTTTTCGATGGAGATCGCTCGACAGTTTCAGGATATTTTGATATCAGAGGAGAGCCATTTGAAAGGGTTAATTATACAGATCCTGTGCCTCGAAAAATATCAGGAATTATTTATATTTCACCTAGTATTTTCGTGACTGATTAGACTGGAGAAATTATCGATTTCAAAAGAGTGCCTTTGAAATTCGAGTAAGAAATTCTATGAATTTTATGCTGTTCAAAATGTCGGTAGCAAATTTTATCCACAGAATTCCGTCGGAGTGGCACCTTACTCAAATAGTTCAATGAATGGTGTTACAAACATGTATCAAAGAAATTAAAACGAGCTCGATCTGTACCCCACTGTCTTCAAGTGGTTTATTAGTCTCTCTCAGTGGTATTAGTGTCATTGTCGGCGCTCTGCTCGCTGCTGGTTTGTTTGCTTTCATCACTGGATTCTTCATTTTGCAAAGGAAACTCGGTTGAAGGGTACACTCGGTAAAAAGGTTTTAGCTAGATCGATGTTTCTCTTTGTGTTCTCCACCTTTTTCATCTCGCAATAAATTTTTAAAAAAAATCCAATATTTCGGGGACCGGTTTTTTAAGCGGGTGGAAGTAACGGATGACAGCCATTTATTTTAACGGTCATATACTTCATTGAGAGAGATCTACCACGATATCTATTTCTCGAGATTTGATAAATTTATTGAAGTGTCTCGATAAATTAAACGTTTACTACAGCATTATCGTCATAGTATGCTTAATTTTATGGGGGAAAAGTGGGTCAGAACGGAATATTTTACGTTTGATCCTGTAATCGTGGTTACCAAAAACATTTAACAGCCGTGATTTAGCTGTCTTGAAAAATTCACAAGAGTTCTGTGGTAGAGAACGTTTTACAGTTTTAGTAACTAGGAGGTAGCTCAACATCTCCTTTGATCTCTTTCTCCAAGAGTAGCTTGGTCAATCAATTTGGGATATAACACAAAAAGTTAGCAACCAGACAAATAGCAACTTCCTAAAATAATTTTATTCTTACCATCGGCACTAAAGAAATATAGCAACAAAAACTTTAAAACTATAAAATTCTCAGTTCTGTTAATATTTACGGGTTACAAAATATGTTATTACTGTTTAACTGCTCTCTTTAGGTGCTCTTGGAATATTCCCTTACGTAGGAAAACTGCAGTAAATCCTTTCCCCTTTTAACGCAATAACATAACGTACAATTCAAGAATGATTTTTCAACGATGCAAAATAAATGGAAAGCTGTGAAAACTAATAAAGTTGAAACTCTCGTAAGCGGACAACCTCGAAAGGGAAAAGCTGTTCGTATCTTTAGATAGCCATTTACGAAAAGTGAACATAGGTCGAAAGGACAGCCGCCACTCGCGAGAGTGTCCTTCTAAAGAGTTTCAGCAGTAACATGACACTTTTTCACTATCTCGTATTCTATACGAGGTGAAAAGAATAGGAGAGAATGGTCTCAAAAAAAATTCCACTCTTTGAAAACTACAATGAAGACTACAATGAAGAACTCATTGCAGGGGAGGGGAAGAGAAGGCAGGGGCCGTGGGAGGGACCTCCTTAGGAGTCGTGAGGAATTTTTCCCCATGAGAGCTAATTCCAGTTTTAAAAGCCCCCTCCCCTTCTTCCGCCGCCCCTGATAAACTAACGTAGACATTCTCTGTAAGAATTGCTTTCTAGACAAAACAGCTTGAGACGCTTTTCCAAATTTGTTTTTTAGATAGATAGAGGTAACTTTAGTTACCGTGGATGAAACGTTTGGCCGTTGGGCTAGTTAACGATTTTCCACAACATGAAAAGATAATAAAACTAATTACAATAATATATACAACAAAACATCCATATTATTCATTAACCTATAATCATTAACCTATAACTTAGGATCTTTACTGCTTAACAAATACCCATCTACCTGGAAGGTAAAATCTAGATGGAACATTGTTTGTCTTGAAACTTTTCAAAGGCGACGTTTAGACGATCTATTTTTTTAAAGACATTTTGCGAATGTTTGGGTAAACCAACACATTGATAATCACCTAAACCTTCAAGCCTCAAAACCGTAAATGAATAGTAACCTAGGTCTTATTTCTAAGTACAATATCGAAACACTATGATATGTGCGTTTTAACGAAATACCCATAACTAACATTAAATTATTGTCTAAAAATCAAAGAGACTCGTTCTAATTTTGAGGTCGAGGTCAAAAGTTTTTGATGAGAATGCTGCACATAAGTCCAGGGATGATGAGTAGAATCAACAAAAACATTAAAAACGACAGCTTGGTGTCTTTGCGTTCACCTTTAGGCTAATGTAAAAGGAGACGAAAAAATGCGCATGTACTGCCCGAAAGTGCACAATCTGCTTCCATGTATAGGCTTCATTTCCAATAAAATTTTATGTCGGGAAAAAGTCGGCGGCAGAAATGTTGAGAAACTCATTCCAAAACAGAAAGTAAAAAGAATAATCCTCGCAAGTGAGTTTCAATTAAGCAATTGCAGAAAAGAAGCCTCAAAAAAATTGGGCTTTGACGAGATTCGAACACGTGCTTCTCAATTTACGACGCAAATTTGAGTAGGTCTTTCGTTTCCGTACAGGAATGTGATCACTGCGGATGATAAAAAAAATACTTTGTATTTCATTTCATTGTGATTACATTCCTTCTGCGGGAACGCAGAACCTACTATATTTGCCTCACTCCCAAATTGTGGCTTCCTGGCTCAGTTAGTGGTAGCGCCCAACAAATATCTGGGAGGCATGGTTTCAAGCAGCGTCGAGGCCTGAATTTTTTCGGACTTCTTTACAGCGATTTCTCTAATTGCAGCCCACTTGCCCGGATCGTCTCTTTATTTCTATATCATGCAGGACAAGTGAATTGTTATTTTTTCCTCTGTTCCTAGTACTCTATGTCTTGATCGTTTTCCTTTTTCCTGTTTGTGTTTGTTTGTCTCGTACATGTGATCGGATGTCAAACAGTCTTGACCCTTAAAATAATGTAAGATTCTGTTCAAAAAAGGAATTAAACGGCCTTTGGGTTTCCTTTCTTGCTCTTGTATGGGACTGGGAAAGCTGTAATACTTGAAATAGAAGAATCGAATAAACAGATCTTGTACAAACTCAGGTATGCATACTCGCTCAACCAAGCATTTCCATGTCATCACAATCATCACTGCTTTCACTGTTACCTTCACTGTCGCACATAAAGTCCATTTCTTCTAGAACTTCATCAACATTTAGGTCGTCAGTGGCATGAGTTGGAAGTGTTGGTCCATGTTGTTCCCTTTGTTGCCCACAACTTTCCTCTAACATCATTTCTCCGCTTTGCACTTCTAGCGTTGGCAATTTTGGCAGTATCGAGTGCTCCAGTCCGCAGAGGGTTAATACACCGAATCGACCAGAAGAAGTCAAGAAGAAGAATTTGTCTGCCTCACAAGATCTGCACAGCCTTTTGATACTTTCCCTTCCTTGACACAATTTTGCAAATGCAATAGCTTCACACCTGTTCAAGTCCCACAGGAACACGTTACCATCAACACCATAAGAAATCAGGTAACGACCCCCTTTCACAAACTGACAAAATTCGATTTTCCCTAAGTGGGCAGGAGGTAGTAACCGAATAGACTGATCTGTAGGTGTGTTCATCGGGCAAAGGGCAATTCTGTCTGTAATGCAACAGGCTAGCAAATTAGTTTCTGGCGAAACTGTACAGTGGGTGAACTCGCTATACTTTGAGATAAACACAGGGTTTTCTATCCTTGTTATCAGGCGACAAGCTGATGCATCATATTCCCAGATCTCAATAATGAATCCGCCACATACAATTAATTTCGTGTTGTCTGATGAAAGACAACAGCAATCTAAAGGTGGAAGCAGTGATTCGACAGCTGGGAAGTCGAATGTCACCAAAAGAGCCCTGCTATGAACATTCCACACCTGGAAGCGTGGATTATCATTGCTGTTCTGGATATAATGAAGAAGTAAAGTGCTGTCAGGTGAAAATGTTAAATGACAACTATCGCATTCACACTGGTCTTCACACAATAAATGAGAGAACGCATCATCAAAAATATTACAGATGTAAAGTTTAGGTCCCAGATGACAGGCAATTAGACCGCCACTTTGAGAAAATACAACACTCTTTACAGGGACAGAGGGACCAATGTCCTCTTCACCAACTGTTTCACAAAACTCAGGTAAGAGGGAAAAAACAGTGGCAGCTGAAATGAATGTACCATTAACAACTCCCTCGAGAGTTAGAAGCGAAAGGAACTGTCTCAGATCCTTTGGAACATCTCTCAGGAAATTGAATGTTTCGCTATGTTGCTCAACAAACCAATATACAATTTGTTTTTTAGATGGGTGGAAGAATGGGCTGCGTCCGGTGACGCTCCTCAGTTTGATGTCAGTTTCAAGATACATGATCTGCAGCGATTGTGCACTGGTGTAATAGAGAAGAGCGTTACTGTCTTCCAAAAAGGCGCAGTGTTCGACGTCGTAGATGACATAACACGGATGCGCGATGATAACTCTCTTTCCTGTCTCACATGCTTTACGCAATTTAACTTCGTCGTGAGCAATAGCAAAAAACAACCTTTCCATGTGTTTTTTGGACATAACGGCAGCGCTCACATGGTACAGGAAGAAATGATCCCCGTGCTTGAAAAACGCTTCCTCCAGTACAGGTCTTCCACTTTCTACATTCCAAACTTGAAACTCGAATATCTGAGGGTAAAGGTCGAGGACACGCTGACGAACAAGTTCAAGGGTTTTTTCCTCATTCCTTTGCTCGAATTCAAAACAGTTTTGGTTCCGCACTGTGACAAAATCAAACTCATCTTGCAATTTGCCTAAAAATTTTTTATGTGTTGGATTGGAATGAAGAAGATCATACAAAACTTGAATCCCCGGTAAGGCCTGTCGCTTACGGTGAAAAAAAGAAACTGAATCCCGACATACTTTATGCCTCTGTCGGAGCTCATAGGTGGCCCACGAACAAAATATGTCTACCAGGCAGAACCCAGTATGAATTTCATTTGAAGGATGACTACCTTGTACTTCAATAGACGGAGGATTTTTAAGGAAAGACCCCAGTCTGCGGCAAACCTTCCTGCTAGTAAATGCAAACTGGAAAATTTTCTCTACCCAACCTTTCTTGACGGAGAACCATTTGTCAAGCCTTCCAAAAAATAAAAACTCACCTTCTGGCGAAAACTTTAAATGATGAATAGAATCTCCCATTTCTGTGACTGCAAAAGGGCCTTGCACTTGCTTGAGCGTGCAAGCATCAAACAAGTATAGGGACTTTCCACTTGCTCCAGCAATTAGCTTCTTATCAGGAGACAAAGCAAAGCAGACAATTTCTTTTGGAATTTCACCGGCTCCAAAAGGAAGCCAACTGTGCTCTATCTTAGTAGCCCCGATACTGTCTGGAGAAACAAGGTTTTCTTGGACAGTTTTAGAAGCCTCTTGTAAGCAGCAATGTAGAAGGTGCGGACTTTGCAAGAGAACGTGGACGTTGCTCTCAAGAAATAGGCATATTTCCTTAAGAATTTCCTTCTTTTCATTGGCAAACCCGTATTGACCCATTGCACACTTCACATCACCAATAATAGAATATATCTCGATGCCCTTCTTTTTTAATCTCCTCGCAATAACTTGGTAATTTGCCAAGTAACTGAAAACGACCTTCAGCGAATCATTGTCGCAATAATCACACAAAAGACGGACGCCGATTTGATCACAGTACTCAAGTACATCTCTTTCCATGGAAGAAGGACATTCCCCCTGTTGATTCGCAATAGCGGCTGAGAGAACTTCAGAGATGATATCCCTTAAGTACCTACCTCCCTTATTCCTATCAACAAATAGTCTCGCTGAGGCTTTCTTCTTGTCGGTCAACCACGAAGGGATCAAACTGTGTAGAAAGGCGAAAGTCTGATCGGAAGTCCTTACAACCAAAAATGTCGAAAAGGCATCAATTACTTCTTGCTCATCGAGATCAGAATTTTCTCTTTGTAAAATGTACGAGATAAACGAGACAGGAAGGGGCGAGGGAGCGGCTATGGCACAACCAAACAACTTCTTGTACAAATCTGCGCCTACTTTGCGAAAAATTCTCGTGAAATTATGCCGAAAAAACTCCCCGATATCTCCTGGGAAAAGATCAGTGAGCTGACTTATCTTACCAGAATACAGTTGATCCTTGAGAACTCTCTCAATGTAGTAAGCGAACAAAAACAATCCGTTGCACTTTTTTGCTACGTCTTCCGCCGAATAGGGTAGACGGGAGAAGTCGACGCTTTTCTCTAAGTATAGTCTGATGTCCAGTTCGTGCTGTTGATAAAACTTAAGGTTTTCGCTGTTCCCCGCACAGATTTTAATGCAGGGATTGTACTCCTTTAATCTTACTTGCACAGTGTCCTCAGGACGACTGGTAATAAAGAAAACAAGCCATTGTGGAAGCAAGGGAAAACGGTGCATTATGAGATCGAGAAAATCATCCCTGGACTCATATTTCGTCTCATCAAGAGCGTCAATAACGATCAACATTCTCTTGCAAGAGGCACTGCATTTGGCTAATGGCTCTTGTAACAATTTTGTAAACAATTCCTGAATACCCATTTCAGAATTGCCTAAACAACTTCTAATGCCACCCTCCCCTCCCACAAAGTTACTGTACTGAGCATTACATTTGCAAAGTTGACAAGCGATGGTCCCTAGAAGATACCTGGGATTGTTTCTTGTGTCATCTCCGTTGAAGCAGAAAAAAGCAGCTGCTAACCTTCCTTTCGCGGCATATTTCTGTGCCAGGACACCGGCCATCACACTCTTGCCGACTCCCGCATCGCCAAGAAGTACATACGCTCTGGACTCTCCTGGGTTCTCAAACCATCTGTAGAAATCATCAAAAAACCACTTTCTTGTATCTGGATGATGACGCTCAGCGAAAAAGGTGATGTCTGCTTCACAACTGGCAATCTCTGAAACATCGCAAGGAAACAATTTTTCACCCAACGCACTTTCAATGATTTTCTTTACGAACGAATGCGTACATCATTAGATGCACATGTGCCTGATAATATTCATAACGACGAGGAATTACAGTTGAAAGCTTCTCACAGCACATATTATCCAATCAGTTTTATTCGCGAGGCTTGCGTGACAAATCGATCCTTAAACTAACTTTTTAATGAAAGGAGGGGAAGCACAAAAACCAAATGCTGAATCCCCGATTCAATGTTGTTCATCGAATTTTTACATAATACTGCTTAGCTAGCAACTTTGGAAAGGAGGGAGTGCGGGATACATTACATTAGATGACACACGCATGGTGAACAATTGTCTCTTGTGGTGGTTACATGTCTCGACTTATTTTGTAACTAGTTGTTACTCCATGATATCCGCTTCACTGAAGTTTAGCACGCAGAGCCAAAATATTATGACTGCATTTAAGAGAGAAATAAACTAAACTCATCTGCTTTCGTTAGTAGTCTGCTAGTCTAAAGTAAAAGAAAAAGTTCTTATTACCATAACTGATTTTGGTGTTGCTTGAGCTCTTCTGATATTCTAAATTGGTGACACGTCTTTCCATGTCTTCTTTCTCTTTTTGAAGTTGACTCAACTTGTCTTGTGTACGCTTAAATTCAGCAGTCAAGGAATATTGACTCTGCTTCATGACTTGTTGATCTTCCTCGATTTGGGAAACTCTTCTTGCCAGCTCCTCGAAGGCTGTAACAGCATCCTGAAGGGCTCTCTGTAGTTTCTGTTCATTATCATCTACTTTAGAAGTAAGGTTGTCGACACCGTTCTTCAGAGCAATGAGATCTTGCTGAACAGCCTTTACCAGATCAGGGTCGATAGTAGCGGTCATACACAGTATGGCTCCTGTGTGAAAAAAAGTTACGCTAAGGCAGGTGCTTGTTATGAGATATGGCCTTTATCTTGTAGGTATGTTACGTACAATCCGTGTAAATTTCTTTATTCTTGTTTGGTATTCTCTCCTGTTAGATTGCAATCAGCAGTAAACACTTCCACCTGGTCAACTGTAAGGCAATGTGTTAAATCAAAGGATACTTAAAAGAGTAATACAAGTTACCTTTGTTTTGCCAATCATTCAGTTCTCTTAAGACAGCAGTCTCATGGGCACTTGGCAGGCCCAGAGATTTCACCAGCTGCTCCATGTCAGCAAAGCTCTGCTGAAAACCTACTAGGTCCCACTCACTGAACACACAGTGCGCCCAGGCATTCCTGGCCTTTCTTACATTACCAGCTACAGTCTGGACAACAGCAGGAAACACAGGAACTTTACCAAGTAGCGTGAGCACGGCCGATGCATCACAGTGCTCGTTGAATGCGTTGAACTTGGCCATGTGATTCTCCACATACAGCTTGGCAAAGTCAATATGTGACGTCACCCGGTAGTCAAACGTGGGATAGTCATACTTTCCACCAGGTTTCCTGGGTAATGTGTCGTTTCCATTGATGTTCTCATACTTTAAAGCCACTGTGTGCCTTTGGAGTCGCCCTATATAGCTCTGAGTATGGATGTTATGGCTGGTTTGAAGATTTCCATACTCCTTCCGAATCTCTTGTTCAACAAACGCTCGTATTTTTGCGACCAGAACCTTGTTTAGAGCAATCCCGAAGACTATCCATCTTTTCTGGTTGTCAGAAACGTTCATGATAGAATTCCAAAGATGAGGCTGTCAACAACTTAAGGCAAATAAATCGAGCTCTAAAAGGAAAAAATGATAACACTTGGTTGAATGATTGATTCACATGATTACTTGATCCAACAAATCGTTTAGTAATCAAAAGACTTATTAATTTATAAATTCATTATTTGCAGGTAATTAATTATTTATTAATTTTATGTTCTGCTTCCACGCTTCTGAAAGGGCTTATGGTTTATTGTCCACTTTAATCCTCAAATTCCCTGTCCAAATTAACTCATAAGTATCAGGTTTGAGTGCAAAATAAATTACCAGGTTACAGGTATGAATCACTTTCAAAGAAAGTGTTATGAGTATCACTAGCTGGGCTGATGACTCAAGCTACAGTTATGGATTGAACTTCCTCAGTTCTGAGTGTGTGGCAGACCCCATGTCACTAAATGAAAAAAAGGAGCTGCACACATCCACATAGTGGTTCTTCATTCTAAACATTCTCAGCTGAATTGAAATTTGAAGCAAAAAAAATGATTCATTACAGGGAGAAAACCTTATGAGAATGGGCAAAAAGCAACCACTGTAGACGCAATGCACATGTGACAAAGGGATTGGTAATCAAACCCAAGCCACAGGAAAGGAAGGCAAGTTCCCTATGGTATCATCCTAGGCTGGAGTTGTGCTGCGCATAGGGCCCTTTAAGGTCCTTCAGAAAAAGAAAAGAAAGAAAAGTGTGTTGAATCAGCAATTTTCCAAGGTGAAATTGATATGAACCACGCATGCATGTGTCACACAGTTAGGAAAAAAAACAAATTGAGCCACATTTTCTCTAAAAAGATTTATCTCATTTGATCAAATAAAATACATGTTAGCAAAAGGAATCCAAATTAAGCCAAAAACACAAATATTAGAAAAAACTAAATTAATTACAACAAGGTATAGTGACCCTGTAAGATCATTATTTGTGCTCTACGAAGCTGCACCTGGCCAAAAAAGTGGAACAACTCTGTGATTAGAAGACACCTAATATTGTTGTTGAACCTCTAACATCCAGACTTGTGGGGACTGGGCTAAATAGCCCAGAAAACTTGAGAGTCTGGATAACTGAAGATATTGCCTTCAATGAGCCATAATGAAAACTGAATACGTATCATTTAGTCAATAATTAGCAAGAATCAAAGTACACTCACATATTATTTTGCATCATTGCCAAAATTTTCCAAAGTATATGGAGAAATGTTTTACAATGACAAGATTTTATAAGCTAAAATGCTGATGTAACTCACTTTGTTTCAAGCTGCTACTGACCAGGTATGCATGTTATAAATTATATCATACTATGAAGTTGCATTAATGGAATAGCATCAACATTGATTGAGTACATATTCTTTGTTTGCTGGGAAAAAATCTGTTATGAATCTATAATATGACTAGGTAATATTCATGAAAAAAAGGGACCAGAGAAGGGAGTAATCGAAAAATCTCGATAATCAAAGTTCAAATTATCAAGGTCCAGATTATTTAGGATCAAATTTGAAAACATCAGACACTTAAAGTCGGAGTGATACGTTAAATGTTTTTTATTAACAGTTGTGGTATGTAGCACATTTAAAGAAAATTGAAGCTCTGATTGCATCTCCATGGGTCACCTTCATAAGCTTAGCAATCAATTTGAAACTATCGTTATAATACCTACCAACCTACATCATTTTTACTGATTACCTATATATAGGTAAACCTGCTCATCAACCATTTTTTAACACATGCCTAGTAAATTAGCAGGTTGTTGTAAATGTTTGACATGTGTCACAGAGACCATTTGGTCAACCAACTCTAAATTTGTGGCTGTTAAATTACTGGGCATTCCTCACATCTGGAATTTAGACGATAATTGTTCATTTATCTTTCTTCAGTTCTTCTTTACACTCAAGGTACTCCACTCCTATATAAGGATAGTCCTATTATTACTATTTAGATAGCAAAGAAGCCTCTAATCAACTAAGTAATGGAAGATGTACTGTTACATTTGAAAGTCTTTAGTTGTTGTCATAACTCAAAACATGAAGTCACTCTGAGTTGTCTTAATTTTTAAGCCTCTAGTCTAAGCCTTTAAGTCAGAGTGATATGTTAAAATGTATGTTATTAACAACTGTGGTATATAGCGCATTCAAAGAAAATTGAAGCTCTGATTGCATCTCCATGGGTCACCTTCATAAGCTTAACAATCAATTTGAAACTATCGTTAAAATACCCAGCAACCTATATCATTCCAACTGATTACCTATACAGATAAAACTGGCCATCAACCATTTTTTAGCGCATGCCCAGAAAATTAGAAGAATGTTGTAAATGTTTGACATGTGTCATAAAGACCAATGATCATAGTTAATCTAATAGAGAAGCCTAGAGCTGGCATGGATTTCTTGAGCTGTTACATTTACTAGTCTAGCAATTTGGTATGCCCTGAGATGCCCCTGCCTAATAATCAGTTGAACGCCAAACATTTCCTAGCATAAGAAAAACCAAGAGGTAGTTAAGTGTTGTTAGATCGTTAAATGGTCTTGTAAAGGAAGAAAATCATAGTAGATACAGTACCGCTCGCGTATAAGTTAACCGAAAAACGCGAATTAAACGCACCAAAAATCGCATGCAAATGCGAATAAAAAAAAAATCGTGCGGCCTCATTAGTATGTATGAGGTAGTCCTTTTGTTTTTCTATTGTTGGCGGTTTATTGTTTTAAAGAATAGGCCACAATGTAGTAGCACTAAAATACTACACGGCTACCAACGACAAGCAAACTTGTTCGTTGCAATGGCCGTTCGAACAGACCTTCCCAATATGCTGTTACCAATGCGACTTCGTAATCGGAATATATGGAGCAACTGCAGAATACCCGGCCACTTTAGTCCGCCTCACTTACATGTGTCGGGAGGCTCTGAAGATCGAGGCATGACATGTAAATGAGTGGCCGGGTATTCTGGAGTTTAGCCGAAATGGAGTTTATCATTTTCCTACGGAATTTATTCATCAAAATAGCTATTTCTCACTTCGTTTACAGATACATCCGTCGCAACGGCTTGGGAATTTGTTCAAAATAAATTTAGTCTCAGTGTATTGTAATTCGGTAGACTCAGCTAAGGCGTCCATTTGTAACTAGTTGTCGCGTTCTGAATGCAAACCCACGTCCGAATGCTCATTTCAGAGCTTTTGTCATCGGTGAACATGCTGTTCTCGAAAACTGGTTCATTCATCTCGCCATTTATTCAAAAACTGATAAGTTCTACTCGCTTATTTAAATGGTGTTGTGTTACAGTATAATTAGCCGTACATACGAGTCAGAGAAAGACGTAGTCGTGAAATTTTTAAGAGAAACCAGATTTGCATTTTGTTTCGATATTTTTAAGACTCGCCGGCGCGTGCAATTAGGCAAAACATCAATACCATAGATTGATGACAGATTTTAGGGTCTGTTTTAAAAGATCTTAAAATTACTGAAGGACGCTAGTCTATTGAAGTCTATTCGGTTTTTAACTGAATTTTCGTCTTTGACATTGCGATTTACTATAACTTGACCCATCATCGTTGTGATACGATTCGCTCCGCAATCAAACAAATCATCAAGAGCGATGCGTAAACACTGAAGCGGGCTCCGATTGCAGTGAATAAAACAGCACATCATTCGCAATCTTAAACAGTACATTTTCCTTGTGATCCTTATCGAAGGTGATCGAGGTAGGTTTGAAGTTTGGAAGAAATCATCACCTGCGATGCAAACACTAAATTGTTTACATTCCGCGACGTAAACACCATAGGGGGCGCTGATTGCAATGAATAAATTGGGAAGCATATTAGTAAATATTTGTTTCGTTACTCGCTCAATGAAACACGTGTTTTTGAGTGACTGACATTTTCCTTCCCAGCTGATTCATCAAAAACTCAAATCAAGCATATCTACTGCTACTGTTAGTTGTTCTATAAATTCGCGAAGCGACGCTTCATGCGTGAGTGTAACATGTTAACTTTTTACTGGGATACCCGTGGTAGCCCAGTCATAAAATGCCTCTGTTTTTTTGTCGTCTTTTTTTTTTTTTTTTTTTTTTTTTTTTCCTCCGCCACAAAATGGAAAAATTGCGCAATAGTACCCAGAGGTCATTGGGCCCTCAACACCATGACAACTAACTGTGATCCAATGAGGTGTTCACATACTGATCACGCGTGTTATCCCTCAACACCATGACAACTAACTGTGATCCAATGAGGTGTTCACATGCTGATCACGCGTGTTATCTTGATGATGATTGACGTTGTCATCACAGACAGGGCCGGGTCACATGACGAACACGAGATTTTTTTGCTTATAAAACTCTTTGGTCAGTTGTTTTGTATTTCAACGTATTTGGATTGCGATCTTCTGGAGCATTATAGCGCAAACGCGCAAAATACTTACAGACGCATATACAAGTCGTATTAATCGCGGCTAATCCACACTGAAAGATGTTATTGAGCGGTAATTTTGGAACGGATTGAGTCGCGAACGCTTGAAAGCCATGAAAGTCTTGAATGCCTTGTATGCTAAGTATGCCAATGTCTTAGTTGAAAAACGTTCACTTGTTGTAAAAAGCAAAATCTGAAATCTGAAACCAAACTGCATATACTCTATGCAATCTATTGAACAACGCTACTACCGTGAGACTGAAGAACATAACTATATGGGATGCAAACTGCTTGTGAAGAAAGACGACATGTTGGATTCACTTGATGGCAAGGAACGTAGCTACGATTACAGTACGAATGGTATTAATTTCACGATCAGAAAGGTGAATCTTATGTTTGTTTTCATTGTAGTTGTATGGATATTCTTTTTTTTAATAAATACGTGATCCAAAACCCTGTGTTTTTTTGTGTATAATGTTGTTATGTTAAATATTGTTTACGCAATTGTCTTGTCACAAGCGGCCCAAGCTCACGTCTCGAGAAAAAGCCAACGATCAATTCATGAACGCGTCACGCGTTGTGTGACTCGGTGTTAAGTTACGAGAGGAACTGCACGTTAT